GACAGGAGTGGTAAAGATGAAATTTTTTATAAAATAGGAAAGGAGAGTTACTCTATTTCTAAATCTAATAAATTTTTTTCTTTTAACATACATGTACGCTTTTAAGTACACATATATTTAATATTAAAATACATGTACTTAAGAGCGTACATGTATGTTAAAAGAAAAAACCATAAGGAAAAAACCATAAAAGTTAAAACCATATGGAAAACATTTTAATTATCAATTTTACGAAAAGAAATATTCTTCATAAGAAGTTCTGCATGTTCTAAAATACGATCATCAGATATCAAATTGTATTATTAGTATACGAGGTAAGTCACAAAATATGAATTTCGCCGAAGAGTAAACTACCCTTATACTTCACAATATCGAAACTTGTTATTAAGAAAAATTGATCAAAACTAAAAACTACGTTCAAATTTACAATTACATACATTTACATTGAAAAAATAAGTTTTGTTGTTTTTTATTAATTTTTATATTTTGAATGAACATTTGTATCTCTTGCAAATAGGAACATACATAACTAATATAACATTATTACTGGAAATAAATAGATTTCCCTAATTTTATTAATACCTCGACATAATACCACTATACCTACCTATAGAAGGTTGAGAATCGGGGGCAGAAATTGCTGGGCTGGGGGTAGGGTAAGCAAAACAAATCGGAACGTTTGCGAACGGCTACTCTTATTTTGTTTGGAGAGCTGGGTCGTGGTAAATAAAAAGGGACTGGAGTGGGGTAACTACAAAAAGTGAATTAAAAAGGTACATGGATTTACTGGACAAAACAACACAAGAAGGTTCCTAAGCTATTTAAATCGGACACCGCTTACAAGAATCTTCCTGCTGAGTGAAAAGATAGGCTTTTCTTTCCTGAAAAATACAAAAAGGGGTAGAATCTTTTTAAAGGAAATAATACTCTTGGTTTAGGAGAAACATTACATATTTATTATTATCTCACCATAAACAATTACAAATATAAATAATAATAACAAAATAACAAAAACAACTTACAATGTTGCTATCGGTTTACAACTCTAGACGTTGGAGACTCTATAAGAATTTAAATTATTGTTGGGCGACATATTGTAGCGGAAATAAATTACTACAAATGAAAAATATTCATTTAAATGGAATTATGCATAGAGGTTAACCTTTTTAAAAACAAAACAAGTATGTACCAATTGTCAAGAAAATAATGCTAACTGTCATATGTCAAGATTAAATTTTAACTTAAAGAATTAATATGACAGTTAGCCACTCCCTAATATTTTACTTATTACAATTTCTTCACTTGTCATGAAAGCAATTATTGATGGAAAATGTCTATTTTTACTTAAAAAAAATTTAACAAAAAAAGTACATGATCAAACTTATATCTCCTTTAAAAGTTATGGGGTTGGAACTGAACTCAAAATTCACTGCAAAACAAACAATGAATGACCTGGAATAACCCGAGACAACAAAATGAGGATGGAAGCTCGGCACTTCATTATGAAATCTTCAAAACTTGGCTTTTAAAAAATTTAAGCTCCTGCTTGAAACCATGTGGATATCTTTTAAACTTGTTTATAACGCCGTGTCACAAATCCCTCAGGTAAAACAGCACAAAAAAATTAGGGGATTAACTCAGACAAAACTGACACATTACATTTGAGTTTAAAATTCACCTCTCCATAATAAGAAATACGCCGGTTGTTTTTAAAGATTACACACAACCTCTTTTTCCGTCAAGATCTCAAACCCAACTTAATTTGTCCTTCCTTCACGCTCCGTACCAGCTTCCTCTGTTGTTCTCACCTTTCTACCAGTCAAAGGGACTAGTTAATTGGAATTCTTTTTAACGACGCTTCTCAGGGTAATTTGACCTTGATCGTCGCTTAGCTTTGAAAATTGCAGAACTAAAATATAGAATAAGACCATATTTTTACTACGCAGTTAAAACTGCAGTGGAATTTTTCTTCGATGTGTCCAGACGCTTACGTCGCAATATACACAGAAACTCAAAAGGAATTTTATACATAGCCCAGAGGCCTACCAAATAAATTTTATACATTGAATATTCCATGTTTATAAGGTATTTAACATGCTACAATATCCACATTTCTGTCTACAATATCAATGCAATTTTAACTGAAGTTACGAGAAATCTAAGATGCATTGATAAACTTGATTTGTTTATAGAAAAGATGTTTGATATTTACTTTCAAAACATCAGTTGTATTTAGTTACGTATTTAGCATCGAGTTGGAGAAGCTATGAGCATATTAACTGTATGTATTAAAAACGGCGTAGGTAGGCGGGGCTAACATTAATACCAGTATGGCGGTGGGATCAGGGCCAGACTCAATAATATTAAAACTACTATACAAATATGACTAGTTATTCAGAAGATTTAATCATAATCTAAAAAAGTGCAATACATTTTTAATAAACTATGATTTATTTATCCCGCGGTAAACACTAAAAACACGATATATTATACATAAAGATAAATTAATGCAGTCAAATAGTATTAATTTATTCTCTAAAGTACGGGTCATTACTTTGTTTACATATTTGTATACTAACCTGTGGAACGATATTCATGAAGATTTTTTATTAACATTGCTTCTGCTACTGCAACTACGTTGAGAACAAGAAACCATTATTATGCACTATCACAATATATTATTACAGTTTGTATAAAAGTATTATAATACTAAAAATATACGAAAAACCATGATACTATGATAAGAAGATAAGATATTGCGCATGTTTTTGTGACGTCATTGTAGAGTTGCACGTTCGAAATGTCAGTTTTTTGTATATGTCAATAAATAATCTTTAATAAATAGTTTGGAGATATTCTTATGTGTACGATTATTGTAATTATTAAACCTCTTAACTTATTTTCGTCTAATAATTTCATCACAGAATGCATACAAATCCCATGTAACTTTAACAAGAATTCAAATTCTACTCTCCAATGACGGCATGCGCGAACACGACCGTTTTTGGGCTACGGAAGATCCTATCTGTTATTCATAGTATCATGCGAAAAACAACAACTGTAAACAAACATATGATTTGTCAAAAGTGTCAAAATAATATTCTTAACAATATGGCCGAAGTGAGGTCGTTTTTAGTCACGTGATGCCATCTCCATAGATTCTAACTCGATGGTATTTAGACAAATTTATGTATTTTATGTATTTATTTATCAGTAACCTGCGATACGCAGATGACACACTTATACTAGCAGCGAATGAAGTCGAAATAATTACCATCATCGAACGGCTACGCCGAATAAGTGAAGAATTCGGACTTCAAATCAACACCGGAAAAACAAAAATAATGATTGTAGACAGAGCAAATAATAATCTACCGCATATACGCCAAATAGGGATTTTCGAAGTAGTCGACAGATTTGTATACTTGGGCTCTCTGATAACGAACAATGGTGATTGTTCCTCAGAAATCAAACGTAGACTAGGAATGGCCCGAACCGCAACTGCTAAATTAATTAAAATATGGAAAGACCGAACAATAACAAGGAATACTAAGCCCAGGTTGGTCAATGGCCTTATTTTTCCCATTGCTACATATGCAGCTGAAACATGGACTCTCAAAAAATCGATAGGAGTAAGATCGAAGCCTTCGAAATGTGGGTATATAGAAGAATTCTACGCGTGTCCTGGACAGAACATAGAACCAACCTGTCAATTGTGGAAGAGCTTCATATAAAAGACAGGCTACTAAAAAAGTAAACCAAGCATACCTAACTTACTTCGGCCACATAGCTAGAAGAACGGGCACCATGGAACTATTGGTAGTAGAAGGAAAGGTAGAAGGCCGAAGACCAAGAGGAAGATCTCCAATACGATGGGTAGACCAAATGAAGAGTTTGGTGGAAAATCCCTACATGAAGCCGTCCATATGGCACAAGATCGCAGTCAATGGAGACAGCAGACTAACAATATTTAGGGTGTCACTACGCCCTGACAAGGGCTAAAGGATTGAGGAGTAAGGAGGATGTATTTATAAAATTTAGTAGAAATGCCTGTAACATTAAGTGCAGAAGATAAAATTGAAATTGTTTTGATTGTGGGATAACAATGTAAAAAAATAGAGAAGCAGTTATAATTTTTAATAATAGAGATTAAAAAAAAATAAATCATTCTACCGTTACGAAAATAGTAAATAAATTTAAAAGTACTGGAGTACAAGAGTACAAGTATAAAAAATTATTTTAATGAACAAGGCAAAAACCTGGTTGACATTGAGAATACACAGTTTAAAGTATTGTTGTCTGTGATAGATAATCCAAAACTCTCATTGCGCAAGAGGAATTCGTTGATGCAAGTAAGTAAAAATACAATAGCAAGAATTTTAAAACTAAATAAATACAAGCCATTTAGACCAAAAATCATTCACACATTGAAAGAAAATGATTTTGATATGCGCTTTGATTTTTGCTGTCTCGTCCAAGGGGAGTTAGAGGGAACCTATGTTCCTATTACGGTACTTTACTCTTGCGCGAAATTCATATTCTTATACCTCGTATACTATTAATAAAATTTAATATCTGATGATTGTATTCTAGAATTTAGAACATGCAGAACTTTTTATGAAGAATAATTTTTTTTCGTAAAATTAATAATAAAAAAGTTTTCCTTATGGTTACAACTTAGTGGGACATATTGTATATATTCATTTAATTATTCGTGAAGCTATCGAAATCGATAACAGCCCTGACAGCTTAAACATAAGCGATAACACTAAAATACTGCCGTCAACATGGCGACCGCTGCTTCAGCAACCCCCCGCGCCAACCGATCTCGCTCACCGTTTTCGGGAATACCGTTCCCACGCATACTGAGGATATAAAAGTAGCTATTCAGGGTAACACGGGTATTTGACACTGAGGAGTAGGCAGAGTGTGTGTGTGTGTGTGTGTGTGTTTGTGTATCTAACTCTAAATGTAAATGGGCACCTAATCTTTAGAAATTATTAATGAATATAGCTGTTACTATCTAAAAAATAAAGCAACCTTTCGATTTCCTCTGTTTTCTTCTTCTCTTCAAATTCTGCTCTCTCCTTTTCCTCTTGTTCTCTAACCTTCTTCTCCAATCGATCTCTAACAATCTCTCTCCTTTTAATAGAAGCATCACTAAGATGTTTACTTCTATCAAAATCCACTTTAATATTGACTTCTAAAGTGGCATCATCATCTTTATGGACTAGCTTCATATTTTTAAAAGCATCCATAGCTTTTGTAAATCCTATATAGTCCTTAAACTGAACATACCCTTCGAAAAATTCAATTTGATCAAAGGAAGAATTCTTCATTCCAGAAATGTGCTCCTTCATCTTTTTCCTGTAAGGATCACATATGGGTATGTCTACAAATCTGATATGACCGAATTTCTCAAACACCCTGTAGAATATTTTCTCTGATGGTGTGATTTCTTCTTCACCTAAGCAAAAATAATAATTGTTACTTAAAAAATAATATATAACCGACATGGAAAATATATTAATGATACCAACAAATAATATCGACAATATTGTTTGGAAAGTAAAAAAAACTGAAAGACAATAATTTAAATATCAAATAAGCGTTGAAACATAAAAACCATGTATTCCATACATCTTCTGTATGTGCAAAAATATTTGCCAAAAATATTTGAAATAAAAAGTGATTCTCTTTTCTTCCTAGTTGGTAGTTTGTTTTCAAGCATGGTAACTTTGTGAAATCTCTTGTACTGTCAGGTTCCACTTGTCTCACCTTGCCTATGAGTTTCACAATAAGATCTGTATATCTGGTTGGAGATCTTCATTTCTTTTAACAGTGTGGTCAAAGAGCTTGACAATATTTTTAGCTACTATGGTATGTAGTTTCTTCTTTACTTGGATCTTTTGGATGATTGACAAATTAGTTCTTTTCTTAGTCCAAGACACTCCTAACATTCGACGCCAGTAATACATCTGAAAGGCATTTATGTTCTTTTTGTCTGTTTGTTTTATTGACCAATATTCAGAAATATTAATATAGGGAATATCAGGCTCTTAACTATTCACACTTTGGTGTTAAGTGTTATACAATGTCTGGGACATTTAATGAGGGGTGAGAAGTATGTATTACTGAGGTTGATTATGCAAGGGAAGATACAAGGGAAGAGAAACCCAGGACGACGCAAAATGTCCTGGCTGAGAAATTTGAGAGAGTGGTTCGGCTGCAGCTCATTAGAATTGTTCAGAAATGCGGCCAACAAAGTTAAAATAGCGATGATGATTTCCAACCTCCGCTAGGAGAAGGAACCCGAAGAAGAAGAAGTTATACAATGACTTTTCAAATGTTTGTAAGTTTTGTCATCTTGACCAGAGCAATTCTTCTTTTAATTTCTTCACTGGATCCCCATTGGTTTGTTATTAAGGAGCCGAAATAAGTAAAAGTGCCGATAAACCTGTCGACGTTATAGATTTTCTTTATATTTAAATTATTCATGTTTAGGTTTAGGTAAATTATTCAGGTCTATTATTGTTTTGGTTTTGTTTGTTAATCTGGAAACCGAATTCTAAACTTTTTTCAACTCATTGTATGAGTTCTTCTAATTCTTTAGATGCAGAGATGAGTGTGGTGTAATCAGCATACCAAGGGTTATTAATTTTGGTACTATTGATGGTGATTCCTCCTTCTAAGTTCTATGAATTTCTCATAATCTATTCGCTGTACATGTTACAAAGCATGGGGTTCAGTATGTACCCTTGTTGCACACCCTTGTTCTTCTTCTTCTAAGGTTTGAGTCAAGTTACTTTATTGATAACCAGCATACTAATAATACATCTACAGTGACATATCTGCATGCATTTTGAAGAGAAATTAACTTTTGTTACTCATATTAATATATGGGGGTCAATGGTACTGGACTTTGTTACTAAAAATTCTAGTTTTTTTTCCATTGCAGCAACAATAATGGTCTAATTGTTCTTTGGTCAGGTCTATGTTGGAGTACTGTTCAGCCAGATGGTCTCCTTATTTCCAGATACATTATGATTCCTTAGAGATGTTTCAGCATAAATTCCTATGAGTGTGGACCTTTCAAAGTAGGATTAGCATAGTAGACCATGACTACACTATCCTGAAGAGGTCTATGAGCTTGCCTGCTTTAAGTGGGAGAGGGATCTGTTTGTTTTAACTTTGATTTTTAAATAATAAATGGTACAATTTTTTGTCCCTCTCTTGTAAGTCAGATTGGTCTTAAAGTACCATATTATAGTTTGTGTCATCCATGTACTTTTAATATTCCATTTTGTAGAACAACCTATGGTGTTAATAGTCCACTGAATAGATATTTATCTTGATTAAACAACCTGAACCTATATGTATTTAATATGTCTCTCAATAAATATATAAATATTTGTAGAAAAGAGTTACTGGTACCTTAGAGTGGGGTAACTTAACTTAATTGTAATAATACTTTGTTTCTATTGTAACTATGTAATACTTTTTATATTTTTTATTTTTAATGTTGTTTTCCCATCTTTATAGTGCTGGATCTTAGAATCATAAAATTAACTGCTGGGTTTATAGGATTTAAGTATAGATATACATACAGTCCCTGCTCAATTTATTAGACTCACTTAGCAAATTCAAGTTTTCTGTGTTTTATAATCAATTATAATTATAACTATGTTAGCTATAAGTAAGAAACATAACACAAATGATAGTAGTAACATTTTTGCATATTTATTGAACAAAAATAAAGTAAATTATTACAATACTGTACTATAACATTAATATTTTGTTAAACCACCCTTGGCATTAATAAGTGCAGCCATTCTCCTAGGCATGCTGTTTATGCATTTTTCTGTGATTTCTTTTAAATTTTTGGTACAATTCCAATGGAAAATGATTCTTTCTATCAACTAAATCTTGTTGGTAATTATTTCCTTGGCTAATTCTCTTTTTAGGCACTCCCAGATATTTTCAATGGGGTTCATGTCTGGTGAGTTGACGGGCCATGGTAAGAGCAGAATTTCTTGTTCTAACAAAAATTTTTTAATACTTTTAGCCATATGGCAAGGTGCTCCATCCTGCATAAATATCTTATGGCTGTTACCAAACCATTCATTCACTTGTGGAACCAATCTTGTCTGCAAAACCCTTTTATATTGGTCTTGTCGGTTGGTTCCTTCTACGACATACAAATGTTCCATACCTTTGCCACTAATCACTGACCATATCATTACTGAGGTGGGATGTTTAATTGTATTAATTACACACCCCTTTTCATATTTTTCCCCTGGACGTCTTCAGACAAACTGGGCCTTGTCATCCATTATTTGAAACGTGGCTTCATCGCTGAAGCAAACCTGGAAATGTGAAAAAAATTATAAAGAATGAAAATAAAATGATTTGTAATAATTTACCTTACGCCAATCATCAATAGACCAGTCTTTATGGATCTTGGTCCAAGCTAAGCGTTTTTTTAATTATTTATGGTGTTAGTTTTGGCTTCTTAACAGGCCTGTGACATTTGAAGCCCATGCTATACAAATTTCGTCATATAGTGGCCACTGATACTGAGCACCCTGCTTCTTCCAACTTATTTCTTAAATCTCTATGGGTGGCCCTTCTGTGTGTTACAGCTAATTTTTTTAAAATTCATTGCGTCCTGGGGTGACTGAAGGTTTTTTGCCACATCGGCCCTTCCAAACTGACGTCACAGGTCGCTTCTCTTTGAGTTTTTGACTTAATCTTCTCACTGACGACTGGGATATACCACATTTTCGTGCTATCTCTCTCTGACTAAGTTCTGTATTTTGTAGTAGAGCAGTAATGGAAGAGATTTGTTCAATACAAAGATCTTTAGATTTACCCATCTGAACAATTCCAATCCTAGATTAATCGTTTTGTATTATAACTAAGAATTAACCAATATTTTGTAATAATGTAATATTAATAATAGTAACACTATTATGTAATAATGTCAATACTTACTGGTGCAAATTTTAAATAATATCTGATCACAAATCTATATTTTAAGTAAAAAAAATCAAAATGTAAAATAATTAGTTGCTCCACACTTTGAGCACATTCTACTGTCATCTGTAAATTTTTGACAATGGACCGCAGGAGTGTGACGTCACATTGTCATTATTACTTTCCAAACAAAAGTTGAAATGTCAAATCTCGAGACTTTTTAATTCCTATAAAGTTAACATTTTGCTTCCTCTGCTGCTTTTTCTTGTAAGTATAGTGTTTTTACGATAATACCGTCATAATTCAGAGTTCTATTTCTATGAAATATGGTTTAAAAGTTAAATTAAAGAATTTTAACCTTACTTTATTGATACTTTCATTTTATTCCTATTAGCATAAAACAATGTGCTTTATTATTTACACAACCTTGTAAAATTGTTGTAGTAACTATTAGAATACTTAAATATTGCAAAAAGCGGAAAGATTCTATAAAATAAATGAAAAAATCACGAAAAATACAAATTATCCACACTAAACAACGTTTGTTTGGAAAGTGAAACTGGCAGATGTCAATCAAATATATGTCATCACTCCTGTGGTCCATTCTAAAAGTATACCATTTTCTACTTAACTATGTTCCCAATAGTTATAAAACCCAGTAGTTCAGCACCTCAGTATCCAAGTGAACATACTTTCAAAGCGATTAAAATTAAAAAAAACTGAAGTTTTTAGGCTAGTCTAATAAATTGAGCAGGGACTGTATATGTATATATGGGTATATATTATATGTACATGTGTACATGCATGTGTATGTATTTATATATATATATATATATATATATATATATATATATATATATATATATATATATATATATATATATATATATATATATATATATATATATATATATATATTTAGTCTGTATTATTTAGTAAGTATTTAATTTTGTTATCTCAAAATATTTTGTACTTAAACACTATTTTGTATGTAACATTTAATGGGGTTGTTCCATATATTAAATAAATAAAAAAATAAATGAATGAATTACCATTAATTGACTTGAAACTATTTGTGGCAACTTTATGACTGGAAAACTGTTATCAATGTATTCACCTATGTTGAAATGTATGTAAAAATGTGAGTTTGATTATGAATGTAGTGATCTTGCAATGGGATCTTAGAATTAAATGTTCTAAAGATTTCTGTGAAAAAATGAAGATCATGCAGGTACAATCCCATCCCAATAACATTAGTCTGAAGCACATTATAAAGTGTGCTTTAGAATAATAGTTTTGAATTATATGAAGTAAAAATTGGGGTAGATTAGATTTAGTAAAACTAGTCCAGTAATATTTAATTAAACTAACCTGAAAGATGATAGGGTATAAACCACTTTGACGGTAAATTTACAATGTGAATAGTATCGGGTCTCTGCCCTGGTTTCATCTCATCCATATCTTTGGCATTATGGAAGAAGTCATCCCAAATACGTCTAGTTGGAAAATCTGACTTCCATTCAACAGCTTTAAGTCGCATTAAATCGCTAAAGTCTTTCAACTTAATCATTTTATTGTTGATTTTCGACAAAACACGATCCAATCTATCTCTAGTCGCCAGCTCACCTTCAAATCTAACAAATTCGATTGTAGTCTTAGTTACTTTAAAAGTAGTAAATTCGTCGGGTTTTATTAAAGCTCTAATTTTATCCATGATCTCCCAATGTGAAACACTTTTTCCTAACTTTTTTACATTTGGAAGTTGTAGTGATATATTTATCCTGGCTATAGGTTTCAAATATAATTGTTGCGGCAGGTACAAGGGTACTAAATCGTTGGTATTGTGACATATCTGAAAAGCATTCATAATTAGAGCCTTTCTCTAATTTGTTACAGAGTTGTTAAGAGAAATTCTCTAATTAAATAATGCTTCTCCAAATATAACTTTTTGTTACTTCCATTCATAAACTACTATTATACTAACTGTCAAACAAATATAAAACATGGATTGACAAAATACAGAGACAGAGAACAAAATGTTACTTCAATTTCATCTTCTTTTTAAGGACTTTCATCATATAAAATGTTAAATGTAAAATTCTATTTTCGTAGTACCTGCTAAATTCGTAGCTTTACATAAAAAATTCTTACTTTAGTTTAAGTAAAATTAAAGACCAATAAAATAATAACAATACATTGATTGACAAAATGTACAGTTTATTATGGAGATGAACATCAAGAAATTATATAGTAGCTAAAATCGAAATAATAAAGAAATCATCAAAAAGAAGAAGAAGAAAAATCTCCACAAATACAAATATGAAAAAGTATAAATGAATTATTTTATTATAATCTAAGTGAATATTTAAGATTTCAACTAAATATTTCAACGGTTTAGTAAACACGGCTGCTGATTTTTACACAGTCTTCCGTAATGTGTACTTTAAACCAACAAAAATGTTTAAACAATCATTTAAATATTATAAGTCAAAAAATCCACCACCTAATTTGGATGATGTTCTCAATTTAAATAAGCCAGAGGAATTATTAGCAAAATCCTTAATAAAGCCTGTTGACGTATATTTTAATATAAACGAAGGGTCTCATTATGGTTTAAGAAAACCCAATGAATGGGAAGCTTATGAAATTGTATCCAAAAGAGGCTTAATTTTTATCAAAAATCCATTTCTGCCAAGTGGTCAAAGGTATTGGATTAAAAAGAGCCTTAAAGAATACTCCAAAAAGCCAAATAAATTAAACATTGACCCCTTCAATATTGTGCCAAATAATACAGACTGGTGGGATGTTAGCCAAACAGATAAGAAAATTTTAATGAGTCTGCGATGGGCTACTCTTGGGTATCATCACAATTGGGATTCTAAAATATATTCGGAACAAAACAAATCAGAATTTCCTGTGGATTTAAAACATATGACTGAATATGTATCAAGCAAGTTAGGATTCCTTAACTTCAGTGCAGAAGCAGCAATTGTAAATTATTATCATCTTGATTCAACACTTTCTGGTCACACTGATCATTCAGAGGAAAATTTAGAAGCTCCATTGTTTTCCTTTAGTTTTGGACAAAGTGCCATATTTTTACTTGGAGGAAAAACTGTAGATGAGAAAGCTACTGCCATATTTTTACATAGTGGAGATATTGTAATAATGAGCAAAGATTCCAGGTTATGCTATCATGGTGTTCCAAAAATAATGAAGTCTAACAATGAAATGTGGAATGAGGATAGTGACTATGTCTTAGCTAATGAAGACTTTTCAGTGCCTGAAGATATTTTATGGAGGCCTTTTCATGCTTATTTAAATGATTCAAGAATTAATATTAATGTCAGGCAGGTTTTAGATATCGGTCAGTTAAGATTAAACACAGATGGGATGTTATAAGTTATTGTTATATATTATGATAGTTCTATAATTATTGAAAGATATACATTAAAAATTAAAACAGTAGAGTATTTATCTATTTTTTAGATTTTTGGTTTATACTTGATTAATTTCAAAATTGAAAATAAATGAAAAGGACCTTTGATGGGTTTTTAAATTTTTTTCTAAACATGTACAAGCTTTCTAAATTTGCCTTTGTATTTGACTAACTACATTATACAGTGTTTCCAAAGTAGTCAGAAATATTTTTGTGAGTGATTTATCAGTTAATTTTAAGACAAAAGTTTTTATTAACATTTGTGGTAAGTTTTGTCAGAGTAAGATACAGAGTATTCAAAGTTTAATAATAATAATAAACATGTATTAGGCAGGTAATAAATGAGCAAAGGTTCCGTTGTGAGAGCTATCCAGTAAACATAATAAACAATTTATTTCACTCATGTTGCTGAAATAAGTACATTTATAGTCAATAATAAAATGTGATTATATTTAAATCAGTTGTGTTGCTGCTCAAAGCATAGTTTTACAAAAACGAAAAATTCAAAAAACTTGTATGGCTGATATTAGTAAGACTCCAGACAGTTTCACTTAAAATTTTCCAAGCATAGAAAAAAGTTTTTCTCATAGTACTGCATAATAAGTTTTGATAAGATATATCTTAAGACAGACTTAAAACAGATATATCTGAAGAAGTAATACCATAAATAAATAAATGTTAAACAAACCATTTTAAAAGCAAATATGAAGGTTTCAAATCGCCACCAGAGGTATAGAGACCCAAAGTTTGTCTGTTACATTCAAAACATTGGAGTGTTTTTTACTGGATCATTTTGCTGCTTCCCATTACATATATCCACCTAAGAAGTCTTATTTTAATGTGTTTTGACGAAATCTAGTTCTGGTATATTCTGTACAGTTTGAAGTTGTATTCTTCTCACATCACAGCAATTTTATCGCTCCGTCCGAATTCTCCTCGGTACCTTCCTCTCAAAACATCACAAACTATTTTCGTTGCTTTTTGTTAATTTCCAAGTCTCTGAGCATCCTTCCGGGGCTGTGGAATGACCTCGAAGTGATGGAACTCCCAGTAATCAGTCTTAAATATTACTAATGTGAGGGGAACATGATCAATGAAACCAAGAACAGTCCAAATAGAGTTTGGGGTCGGTGCACCAGTTGTGCTTCGGACTCCGCCGCCAGACGCTGAAAAGTGCAGTAACACGCAGTAATCATCCTCAATTGCTTCTTCCCCCAAAAAAACTATCTTTGATTGTACCAATCACTGACAAAAAATTGAAGACCCTCAGGTCCTTACTGTCACCTTCCATGTCTGGGACATAAATCACAGTCACCAAATGGTCAACGACCATATAATCCTTTACTATTCCCATCTCCTCACAGTGTAGGGTAAGTAGCTACACTGAGGAACACCGGGCGGTATACGAGCGTCACTGTAACTACTAAAGGAGAACACCGTGGCAGATCACGAGGAGTACACCTCGATAAAAAAAATTGCAATTCCAGCTCGTGAGCTACCGTGAGCAGGGGATAAAATAACTGCGTGAAAAGCAGTCGCAAACGGTGCCCCCGGGATACCTGGCAACCTTTCGGGGTGATCCAGCTGGACCTTTGTTCTTCCCGGCATATGGGAACACATACGGATGCGAAATAACCGACAAGTTTTATTAAAACAATACAAAACAAAAGCAAAACGATGCACGAGGACGCGGAGTGGAAACAGTTTCAAGAACTAGGGGAATCTGAGATCTTAGAAAGGAGAGACTCGATATCGACCGATACGCTGCTACTCGTGTCTGCACTTCGAGCATACCAGGAGCAAATGCAAAGAAAGAATTGCAAGAGATAAACGTCTTAAGGATTGCTGGGAGGAAGGGCACAGCGCTACGGAGTGCTAGAAGGCTCCCCATTGCGGCATCTGCAAGCTCGTAGCCGAAAAAAATTTAGGGGAAGGGGCGTAACTGCACTGGTAGGAGACTTATTGGGTCCTTAAATTCAACTCTAATTGAGCTGAATTTAAAGGGTTAATAGAAGTGTATGATATGCTCAGAATCAGGGGACAGGAATTAAAAGTGGACCTGTTGGTAGTGTCCGAGCCAAATGTAGGCAATATATAGCAGTTTATATTAGAAACAGAGAGCTGTGGGTGAAAATTTGCCAGAGGAAAGAGGGATTCTTAATCTTTGATCTTGGAAATGTCACAATAGTGGCGACATATATCTCCCCTATCACCATACTAGGAGAATATAAGTGCCTGGTAGAGGAAATAGGAAATAAAAAACAAATACTAATCTTTGCTGGGGATGTGAATGCAAAATCTATTTCACGGAGAGCGCCAAGGAATGATGAGAGGGGAGAAATGTGGAATGAGACCATTCAGGTAATAAATTTGGTAGTATTCAAAAACGGTAAGGCGATCTTCGTCAGGGGAGAAAGTCAGACACAATTCGACGTCACAATGGCAATGATACAGATAAGTAGAAAGGTAGAGTGGGGCGTACTGGAGAAATATCCTCTCACCATAAGTGTATTTTGTTTAAAATTAGAGAAAACGCGATAAAACCAAGGTAGGGAGGTAGGTGGAGATTTCTTGACAAGAGAAGACTCAAAGAGGAAATCCAAGGGATGGAGAGCCACGTCAAAACTTTGAAGCTATGAGAAAATAAAAGATATGGCAGAAAGGTACAGTCCGCGGGGTGGGAGAGCGAACAGTAGCCCCTACTGGTGAAAAAGGATTAAAGAAACAAGTAAATGCGACATGAAACAAGCAAGAATACGAGAGACAGTGGGAGGTACCGCGCGATGAAAGAGGCGTACAAGGACTAAAAGCTACGAAGAAAGAGTTGTTGCGAAAAATAAACGCCTAAAAAAGATGTTGACAAAAACTTTGCGAGAATCCTGAAAAGGATATCTGGGGAGAACGCCTACCGAATAGTTGTCTGTAATTTAAAGGGACAGAAGGATTATTTAAGATCGAGGAGAGTTGGAGGGAAGAATTGGCCAATGCTCTTTTTCTAAAGAGGGAGGAAGTAAACTTTACGCCACTCCAAGTGGAGACACACTTGACTAAATTTACAAGGGAGGAAGTGATGGAAGCTGGTAGAACGCACAAAGAAGGAAAATCGTCTGGACCTAATAAGGTAGCGCTGAGATAATAAAAATCATTATCGAGGAGAAAGTGCAATGGGCACAGGATATTATGAATAACCTGCTAAGAAGGCAAGAGTTCCTAGGAGATCTGAAAACAGCAAATCTCATGCCTATTGAGATTTGAGATTCTTGTGAAGACGAGGCTGAAAAGGGAGATAATAAAGAAAGGTGGCATATCCAATCGCCAGTATGTGTTCAGAAACGGAGAATCTGCGGTAGACGTCATAAGCATGTAGGAAATATCCATATGTACGATGAGATGTATAGTAGCTTTCTTTCTCGAAGTAAGAAATGATTTTAATAGTGCTAGCTGGATAATTATCATCAGACTACTGGGCGACTTGGAGATATCTCCTTATTTGCAGAACTTGGTCAGGCGTGCATCAATATTGCAAGGGGTAACTTTATGACCATGGCAGCAGTGTCGCAGGGCTCCGTCATGGGGCCATTGCTTTGTAATGTTCTATACAATGAGATTTTTGAGACCGACTTGGCAAATGGAGAGCCAATCCAAGATCTGATCAATATAATGATATTGCTTCAAAGTGGCTTCTACAAAAACAGGTACACTTCGATGACTAAAAAGTATTCCAGCTCAACACCATGTAAATACCTGAGTCTTGTCAACTAGATCCTCTCGAAATGTTAATTTTTCTTGAATCAGGGTAGAGACAAAAACTAGCTTCATTTGTGAATAAAACAGAACTTGTAAGCTCCAATGAACATGTTGTGCCCAACTTAATCTAAGTCCACGATTTCCATGACGTAACAAGGGGATCACAATAGACGTCTGCCGTATAGGCAGAATCATGTAATCTATTACTTCAAGTTTGGTCACATACAAAAAAGGTATTTTCCAAAGTCCCACAGAGTTCACTGCACATTTCGACGAGCTAATCCAACCACATACCGATCCTGTCTAGTAGTAGTTGCACGTTGACCACCTCCATGTCTTTGAGCGGCATTGCCAAATTGTTCATAATATATCGACGCCACACTCAACATCAGTTTGTCAGGCAGCGGTGGCCATTCCAGTTAGAGAGAATGAACGAGTTGGAGCAGTCGAAACACATTTATATTCAAAGACCAGATGAAGTGAGGAAAAGAGGCAGGCCAAGAGCACGATTTAAGGACCAGCTAGAAGTTGACTTACGAGTGTTAAGCGTACGAAAGTGGAAAAAAAAGGCGAAGGATAGGAAGGAATAGGAGCTGATCCTAAAACATGCCAAGAGGGTTGTAGAGATAATATTGATGATGATACCATTTAAAAATGAACCACTTTTTATTTAAAAGTTGAAGCAATTAATCGTACGAATGTGCGAGGCGTAGTCATTTTCGCCTTATTGCTTAAGATTCCATCGCAGGATCACTACGTTCATAACATAGTTACTCACATTTGTACATACATTTAAAATTAGGAGAATTGAAAATGACCAAACGTTTTATTACCATAATTTAATTAATATTATATATAAATTTAAAAACAAACATCTTTCTGTTGAAAAGGAAATAAACAAAAAAACTTCACAGTAAAATAATGATACGGTTATCTATAACTTATAATGTATTGCTAGTTGCATGGTGAAAGTAATTCCATGTGAAATAATAGTGGCAATTAAAAATTAAAGGGTTTCATTAAAAGGTAAACATATTTCAATCATGTATTTTATTAAAAATTACCTACATTTGATTTTTAGAATCAAACGTTAGAAAGATAATTATTATTCACCATAATTTGATTCTGTGATACATATATAAACTTTGAGAAGATGACTGAAGTGACTCACCTGTCAATAATGTCAATAGCGTTCTATGATAAAAAATATGGTGGTCGAATTCGTTTCTCAGGAAGTGTTTTCATAAGTTCATTTTTTAAATCAATAGTAATCAATTGTAAACGCTTTCACGATGGCAGAAGCAGCTGTAGAAGACAGACCGCCACAAAAGTTTTATTGCCATATGTGTAATGTTCAATTTCAAAATGCATCAGCGGTAAACTAATCTCCATATGAAAGTGGTTGTCTGTTTATCAGTAATATTACATTCTTTATTTTCAGAATTTCACATGCCCCCATTGCTCCGATGGCTTTATAGAAGAACTACAGGAAACTTCAGAGGATAATGAAGAAATGATCGATGTGGAAGACTGGGTACACGAAGATATGGTGAGTATTAAATGTCCTAAAAAATTGAAATACTCTTTAAAGTTAACACTATTTAAAGGTATTGCTTTTTTCGGCTACCACTACACTTCAACTCCGTATTGTTAAGCAAATAATAACCCAATAGTGTTCCTACTATATTTGTTAAAATGTCAAGAAACAATAAGCCAGGTTAATTAAGTATATTACTTGGTCAAGAGTATGTATATGTTGGTTTTTAAAATGCGATTTTCGTGTAGAAATTAAAGTATAACGCCTAAGAAAGATCTTTATTTTGAATAAAGATAGAAATAGAAAATATGCAACATAACTCAATGAACATTTGTCTCCTAGTTAAGCTTATGGTTTTTCATTTTATCTTTTCATTGTAGTTTGGTCTCAGCTTTTGTACCCTTACCAGATTGTTTTATTCTTCTATTTACTGTTTCATAGTTGTCTTGTTACTTTCAAAATTGTTCAAAATTATAACTGCAATATGTGCATTATGTGACATCTATATTTTGATGTCACATATGCACATGATCACAATCAAATGATAGTAGTTTTCTAGATCAGTAGATGCCCTTAACTTAAGCTTCTTTTTTAGTTTATATAACAGTGTTTTTCAATAACGTTAATTTCCTTGAAAAAATTTTTTAACTTTATGCTAAATTACCCTATTTAATTTACTTCAACATTAGTCAAGTATATTTGTTAGTTCTAAATAAGCCAAATTCTAGATTAAAATTTGAAACTGATTGACATTTTTAACAGGATTTGTGTGCTTTTTAAGCAAACTCCTTTGGTTTCTTCCATATTACTTCAAATGCTTTCATAGATGATTTGATATAAGCCACAAAATGCCTGTACACATAAGGGCTTTTTTCTGATCATAAAGTAGGCAATGATGAAATGTTAAAATATATAATTAAAAACCTGTTTATTTTTATTTTTCATAAGAAAACATTTTACTGATGATAACTATTAGATAACAATAACAACCATAATGGAAAACATTATACTGATGGTTGCTAGAATTATCATGGTTGGATATATGCCCACTGTCATCACTTGTTGTTTCATGGCAGTGGCTTTTATAAACAAAACATATTTTCAATAAAAAACATAAAAATTAATGTTGAGCACCCAATAAAATGCATTGTACATTAATCACTAACTGAAGCAGCATCAACTAATTTAAGTTTTAGGTTCGTAAAGCTCAAACCCTTTTTATTGTTCTGAAGCTATTGTCTTGTGGCATTTTAATATAATTTACAATTTTTACTGGGAATCAAGCACAATTTAAGTTTAAAATGGGTATAATATACCATCCAGAATAGTCTATAAGGATAGGGTTGGCTTAAATATGAAGGACTCTGCCAATATGTTAGCAGAATATTTCTCATCAGTCTACTCGGATGAACAAAAAGATACTTTACCTTTTTTTAATTTTGACAGTTCTATTTGTTTGAGTTCTATAATACTTACATCAACTGAGGTCTATGATACTATTGCAAGTTGTAAAAACAGATTATGTGCAGAGCCGGATGGAATCACAGCCTATTTTCTAAAAAAATGTATATGTGTACTTACAAAACCAATTTTGTTTATTTTTAACAGATCACTTGGTACTGGTAGCTTTCCCAGTCTCTGGAAGAAAAGTTTTTTAAAGCCGATTTTTAAATATCAAACAATAAACGATATATCAAACTATCGAGCTGTCTGTAATCAGTTGGAGCTGCCCAAGTTGCTTGATTGTTTGGTTAGTAAGAAACTGACATGGAGTTATAGAGGCATTTTTAATCCTGAACAATTTGGCTTTATGAGAGGGAGGTCAACAGATACGAACCTGGTTTTGTATGTCAATCATATATATAACAGCTTTGAAGAGGGGTGCTAGGTTGACTCAATCTATACTGACTTTTCCAAAGCATTTGATTGGGTAAACCATGGGGTCCTCTTACAAAAACTAAGAGCTTTGGGTATTTTGGATCCCATTCTTCAGTGGATTACAGAATTTGTTAGTGACTTTACGCAGACAGTTAACTTGGGAAGTGACACTTTAATTGAAATAACAGTTCCATCAGGTGTGCCACAAGGCTCCCATTGTGGCCCTGTTTTGTTTTGCTTGTTTCTGGTTGATTTAGTACAACAAATCAAAAATTGTAGTTCTTATGTTTGCTGATGATGTAAAACTGTTTAGAAAAATTCAATCCTGGAATGATGCTGTTATATTACAGGAAGATCTTAAATCGTTTTATGATTGGTGCACTTTAAACAAAATGTCACTCAATATAAACAAATGTCATAAAATTACATTCTCGAGGCAAAGAAATCCAATTACATTTGTTTACTACATAAATAACTTGCCATTAGCCTCGAAAAATGAAGTATTAGATTTGGGAATTTGGTTAGACACCAAACTGTCATTCTCAAGCCACATTAACCAAGTAACAAACAGAGCGATGAAAGTGCTGGGATTTATCCATCGCACATCTGTGGATCTGTCTTTATTTACATTTAGAAGACTTTATTGTGGTCTCGTTAGGCCCATTCTTGAGTTTGGATCAGTTGTATGGTCCCCATCATATCACTGTTACATTCAACAGATTGAAAGAGTCCAGAATAAATTTTTGAGGGTAGCAGCCTATAAGAGTGGATACAGGAGAGAGGAATATGACTATCAGTGGGTAAGAGATAGTCTTAACTTACCAACACTTGAGTCAAGGAGGACATTGTTAGATTTATGTTTCTTACACAAAGTTATCAATGCTTTTATAGATTGTCCTCAACTCTTATCGCTTGTTAGTCTTAAAGTTCCTAGTAGAAGCAACAGACAATCAGAAATCTTTTTAGTGCCATTTCACCACACTAATTATGGTATCAATGAACCAACTACACGATTGGTCCGGAGTGCTAATAGCTTGCCAAGACAAATATATATTTTTGACTCCAAAATTAGTTTGTTTAAAAAACAACTAAAAAATATCTTACAATAAGTTGGTTGTACATCTGTATTATTCTTATATATTTGTATTATTCTGAGGTGTTTGTTATTTTAATAATTTATTGTTGTTAAGGTGTAACTTTGTAAAACTTGTGATTGTTATTTTAATAATATATTGTTTTTAAGATGTAACTTTGTAAAAATTGTAAGTAAATGGATGCCATATATAAATAAATAAATATGTTTATTTTGACGTTTTGATGTCCACTTTGATTTCCAATTTGAAAATCATTCTCAAAATTGAAACAGTTTAAACTAAAATTGTGTTGTGATATAGATTATTGTATAAACATGTTTTAGATATTAAACTTAAATTGTGATTGAAAATATAGAGTAAATATTCCTTTGTAATTTGTTACAACATTAGTTTTTCTGAGGATCCTATTATCATATTTATATATAAATATAAAAGCACCTAATGAAAAGAAAAGTAATTATAAACAAATTACCAAAACAATACTATTAGAGATTAATACTAGTATTAGATTTATGATAAGATTGTGTCTATTATAATGACTAATGACCTAACAAGTAAAGCTGGATTTGTAGTTTGATGGACTGTGGACATAGACACACTAGAGATGTAACAGATGGACTGTAAATATTATTTCAATTTATAAATAGATGGAGTGGAATTTTTGCTCATTAATAGAAACAGTGGCCAGAGTTGGTGACAGTGATACTATAATATCCTTTTATTATTTATTATTATCCAGATTTAGCCATACGGCTCACACTCCCTCTAAGGGGAAAATTCACTCATCCCAGATACCTATGGTATCAAAAGGATTGAGCTCTGGTGGGACTCTTTCCATGTTATCGAGCCCTAGGTGACTTGATATGCTGGAGTATCTCCCAAAAATTTTCGTACACATCTGGACATTGAGAGTAGTACAGCTTTCTGCATGGTCTTGTAGAGATGTTCATTCAGACCTAGCTTTTTTATGTTTTCTAGGAGGTTCTTTGGAATGACTCCAGTAGTAGAGAGAATAATAGGTATTGTCTGGGTACTTTCCATTTTCCACTGTCTTTGTATTTGAATTTCCAGATCCCTGTACTTGGCGATTTTTTCGTTCTGTTTAACACGAAGATTATTGTTGTTGGGTATCGCCACATCAATTAATGTTGTTGGTCTCTTTAGTTTATTAACTAGTATGAGATCTGGTCTATTATGTGCCACTGTTTGGTCTGTGAGCACAGTGTGGTCCCAGTATAGCTTGTAGTTGTCATTCTCAAGTATACTCTCAGGAACATATTGATAATATGGAAGATAGTTTGTTTGAAGAAGTCCCAGTTTGATAGCTATCTCTTGATGAACAATCTTTCCTACTGAGTTGTGCCGTTCCTTATATTCAGTTGCAGCAAATGCCTGACAGCCTCCAGTAAGATGTTGAATGGTTTCCTGAGCTTGGCATCCATATCAGCATTTGTCATTTTGGACCTGAGGGTCTTTGACGATATATTTCAGGTAATTTTTGGTTGGTATAACTTGATCCTGAATGGCCAATAGTGAACCTTCTGTTTCGGGGAACATCTTTCCTGATGTCAGCCAATATTTCGACGCTATATTGTCGACATGGTTCTGACTGACCTCATTGGGATGTCGCCCATGCAGAGGTTTGCCCATCCAGGTGCGCATTTTTTCGTTCTTAGTAAGGTGGTTAAGAAGGTCCTTAATGTGTTTTGAGCTTACAGTTGGAAGTAAAGCCAAAACCCAGATCTATTCGATGCATTGACAAACTACAGTGTGAACTTCGGTTATAGGCAGGTGTTTCTCGGAGTTTTGTTCTTGTAAATCATATCGCACATAAAATATATACCTTATAATGTCACTAACAGTAGGCAAAACACTTGAAGATGGTTCAGAAGGTATTCCAAATATAGGACAGCGCACTTTACGTATAAACTAATTAGTTATTAAAAGTTATTACGGCAATAATGCAGTACACAACACGAAGCAGTTTCAATTATGCAAAATCCGACAACAAATCTGCGATTTGTACGAAATTAGCTGAAAGGTCATTCTAGCAATCTCGCTCATGCATGCATGCAACTAGTGACAACAGCTCATCAGTAGCCTAACACGCATTAATTTTCTTTAGAACCAAAAATGTAGATGAATACAACTTTGTTTTATTTTGTAAAACTAATTCGACAATCAGGGGGAAATCTCCGTTTATGGGAAATTTTAAGTCCCGGTAGAGAGCTAAAACATATATGTGATATATTTTTCATTATTTATATAATGTTTCTAATGGTCTAATGCAACTTCCGATTTATACCCATACTTGTTTTGTTCGACTTGAAAAATTCGACCCACCCTAATCCACAATAATAATACCAAAAAAGTTTTATTTCGTCATAAGTAGTATCGTAATAACTGTTTATGAGAGCATGAGGTAAAGTATTGGCCTGAGACTTCATAGATTGGACGTATGTGTTTGTTTCAGTTACCATATAGTTTTTTATGTCATGTTATGAAAATTTTATAAAAATCCAGTTCTTTTTTTCTTTGAAGTTGGCCAGTATATCTTCAGTTACACCTGGATTTGTTTCGGTAAAATCAAATATTTTTAGCCTAGATACTGTAAACTTTTCATAAGAAAATATTTATTCTGTGGCTTTCATTATCTGATTATTCATTTTCAGTGTCAGTACTTTCCATATTATCTAGGTTTCCTGATCTTATTATATTTTCTATGGTCTCATTTATATGTGCATTGGAATCTAAAAATTCAGATAAATAATAACAATAATATACAAACAAAAGGAAAAGGAGTACATTTAGGTGTACTTCATAAATTTTAAAGTACAATAGGACAGCGTTTGAAAAGAAAGTACTGTCCTACTAAAAAAAGTACATATGGTCACCCTAGTTATAATGCTAAATCCAAATCGATACAACAGGGTCAATTTATGAAATGGGCAACTTGTATCAATTTAGATGTAACAATGTTTTTATGAGAAAATAACAATAAAACATATAAATTATAAAAAACACAATTTAGTAGGGCATTTTTGATACATAATGAATATAAAGATCTCGGATCTATAATATCTAAAGAAGGCACTACCAAAAGAGGCATCGAAAACAAAACGCAGCAGGGAAAAAAGCGGTTAACATTCTAAACTCTCTACTATGGTCTAAAGATATTAGACAAGAAACGAAATTGACAATCTATCGAACCTTCGTAGAGCCTATTATGGCTTATGGGACAGAAGTTTGGCAGATCACGAAAAAAGATAGAAAAAGAATAGAAGTAGGAGAGCGTGTGGTGTATCCAAAAAAGATCATATCAGGAATGAAGATATTAGGAGGACAAATACTGTATATTCCAGTGTAGACAGAATTGAAACGAGACAACTAGTGTGATATGGTCACGTGAAGCGAATGAATAGATGGCCAAAGAAAACTTTAAATTACATACCACAACAAAGAAGAAGAAGGGGAAGACCTTCATTTGCCTGGGAAGAAAATGTACGACACATAATGAGAGATAGAGCCATCAAAGAAGAAGAATGGAGGGACAGAAAACGATGGCAGTCTAAATGCGAGAGGCGGCAGAGGCTGTAGGAACCTCGCTTATATATATATATATATATATATATATATATATATATATATATATATATATATATATATGTGATATTAAAAGTCTGAGGTGCGCCAAGCAATTAATTAGCTAATTAATTAATTAATTAAATTTGAAATAATGCAATTATGATTATATCACACTATTTAATTCTCTTATCTCAGGGTTCTACTCGTGCTTCAATATCTATGCTTTACATATATGATAGGTAAGGTCCAAAGAATACCGGAATAATAAAAAACATATATGATACAACATTATATATTGAAATAAAAATATATTGAAATAAAATTCACACTCAAATATCTTTAATAAAAATATCTCATATAATGATTATCAAAATTTTGTTCTACGTACGTGAACTTTCAAAAATTAATGGTACATACAATATAAATTAAAATTTCAAATCCAAATTGTTGTTCTAAATCTTCTGATCAAAATATTCCTATCTTTTCTAAAGCAATTGTAAAAAAATGTGTTGTTAATAAAGAAAAACTGATGAATAGTAAAACTATCTCTCTGATGATGAGTTGTCCAAATCCTTGTTCCTTGTAGCCTACACTATCTATTCTTAGCAGTCCCCTAGGTAATCAACAATCTTACAACAAATTGTTGCGAGCCTATCGTCTTTAATGATCTCCTTCAAATGCACATACCGTTCAAATTATGCTAGACTCTTCTCCTCTCTATAAACTGAATCTCTCGTTCTGGTTTGAACAGTGACTCTTGGAATATAAGTAGAAAATATAACTTACAATATTTTACTGGATCAGCTTCTGTCAGATACACTTACTCCACGAAAACTCACAAATATTCACTTCTACTGTTTACTACCTCTGGGGAACCACCAGAGAACAACGACTGTTCGGCTTCTACCCTTGGAAACCAACTGATTATCTTTTCTCCCTCAAAAATCTAGCTTTCCTTCCTACATACCTATCCCACTTTTTTCAATCTCCTCCAATCAAAGCTCGTCACAATTACCCCCATCTCTTCATTGAGATAACATACAACAATTTTACCTACAATTATAAATTTCTTAAAAACTATTAACATGCTAATCGGTTTTTACAAATTCTTAAGAACAAACGGAGAAATATATTTTCTAAATATTTCTATTCTATTGTCTTATTCACTGTACAATTCCATTTGGAAAACCCGCTCGCATTATTCATGGTTTCACTAATTTCACTCACGTCACTCGAAAATATTTTACAAAGAAAATAATTTATGCATATCTTTAAAATTTTGTTTACTACAGGTAATCCAGGATAATGGACTTTCATTTCTTCGAAATAACTTTTCTAGTTTATTAGTCGAATTATTTGGATTATTTTATTTTCTACTTTGAAATATATTAAGCAAACCAAAATTATTTTCAAATTTACATAGCCTCACAATATATATATATATATATATATATATATATATATATATATATATATATTTGATACATATTTATAAATTTTACACTGTGGCCCCAGAACTTGTTTTTTTTTTAACATGGTGGCGCTTAATGTGTTAAGGTACCTAAAATGAATGTTACAATTTATTAAACAATGAACATCCAAACCTTAATTATGTAATGATTGTCATATCTGTTCACACTACCACAATAACAGAACTTGCTTATCACTGAAGTGATAGCGTTAAAACATCCAAACAAAAACAGCAGCCATAAATAATTACATTGTTAAACATTATTATACATATATAATTCTTAAGCAGATATGTACCCGATTTCATACTAGACAAGTGATTCGAATAAATTTTTGAATTTGATAAGATATTACATACATTCTTTGGTCAATTTTTGATTGTCGGTGACAAGCAAAACGTCAAGACTATATTGTTTATATTCAAAATTTATATCTAATATTACCTCTTGTAATAAATGACCAACATTAAATACTATAATAACTACAATACTATAATATTAAAATACTATAATAAATATTTTTCATTATTTTTCAGATGGACAACTTAATGAGTCAGATGCCACTCAATGTAGTAGAGGAACGCCGACCTAGGACTAGATCAGATGGAGCACAACCATGGCGAAGGTACCTAAATCGTTCCAGGACGCTTAGACCCAGGTCGGAAAAATTCATTATAACGTTTGCATGGGCATTCCTTCGATTACTTTTTGTATTTAGATAACTGGGCAATAATTTATATACGGTTGGAGTTTAGAAACGTAGAATTTTGGATTTTATGTTGAAAAAGTTTCCTTAAAATGCAATATTTTTATCGTCTTTTAGTCTGTCTTTTTACAATAGAACAACCAATTCTTTTTTTTTTTGATCGTTTTTAAAATTATTTTATGCTGATTTGGTATAAATTTAAATATCTTCAAAGTATATCCTTTCATTGGATAATGTAGTATTACTTAAATAATACTAAACTACACTTCACCGCAAAATTAACCAAACACGTAAAATTCTAAAGTTTTCTCCTTTTAGTGTTGTCAAATTTGTTTTATTCAACAGTTTTGTATTTAGTAAATATAGTTATCAAAATATAAGCTGCATTTCTCCATTCGTTCTTCAAAGATTTATAATTTTTAGTGGCTGAAAACAAAGTTTTTTTGAAGGTCTGTCGATAAATCAAATATTTACTTACAAAATAATGCTTGTTAAGTTGAATGTATCCATTTTTGGTTTATAATAACAAATAATAATTTACAATAAGGTGAGATCAAGTAGCACAGTGTGTGCACAGGGATGGGCATTTCATTTGGTATAGCGAAGAAATACTTGGCGTTTCATGAAGTACAATCAATATCCGATGCTTTACAATGATTTCGAGAAACTGGTCCTTACTTAAGAAGATCTGGAAGGGAAGACCAAGGGCAACAAATGACTGGAAGATCGGTAGCATAGTTTCACCTGATGTCATATGTAAAAGATTAAGCAAACAACATATATTGTTGTACGTACCTGCTACAGGCCCTTTAGTGGATGCAGCTCATCGAAAAAAAAAACGCTTATAATTCTCTCGGGCACATGCAGATTAGGATATGGAAGATTGGAGAAACGATCAGTTTAGAGACTTGTCTTGTTTCACGAGATCTTCACCTGATGGCCGCCAAAGAGTGTGGAGAAGGCGTGGAGAACGCTATGACAATCTCGCTTCTCTCCTATAGTACTGTTTGGTGCTGGAGGTATAATGGCATGGTGCAGTATCTCTTTGGAAGCACATACGTAACTTAAGTTAGGGAGAATTGGCTTTAACTCTGATAGATACATTAGGGAAGATCTGGAAGAACATGTGATACTTTAAATTCATTTTATAGGTGAACATTTTCTCCTAATGCAGGATAATGCTCGGCCGCACATGTCTAAGGTAACAATTAAACACATTTCAGATGTTTGTATGCATGTATTAGTCTGGCCTCCTAGAAGTTCAGACCTTAACCGTATAGAGCAGTTATAGGACAACTTGGAAATATTATTTAGGCACAATTATGGCGATGTTGAAATTGTGGTATCGTTAGAATATAAGCTAATAAACGAGTATATACTTGATCCAGTCTATACCAGAAAGCATGATATCTAATATTCGAGCTCGAGGAGGCAATACTCGATTTTAATATTCATATGTTAAAATTATTTTATGATTTCGATATATTTGTTGTTAAATTAATCAATATTTTGGTACTTTTTTTATTTTATGGTTTTTTATTGAACATACAATAAAGAATTTATTGGAATTTAAGTTTTTCCAATACTTTTTAATTTTACTTCAAATAAACTTAGCGTCAGGTTAATTTTGCGGAACAGTGCATATTCTGTAAATATATTTTTAAATTGTAGGCATAAGCCGCACATTAAAATACTTTTGAATCATGAGTCATGTCTTATGCATTTCATGGATTTAAAAAATAAACTACATAAGTATTTCAATACACAACGCTTAACAGTTAGGGAGTTTACTGTTATCGTTGGTAGGGGAATGGAATCTGAAACCTTAAATTATCTATTATACTCCAGTTACTGAGGCTTATGGTAATACCTCCGAATTTTTTATAACTGCATCGATTTCTTTGAAAATTTCAAATTAAGCTTATCTTCAAAAGCTTAATGGGGCTTACCCTCCACTTCAAAAGTTATATACGCTCTAGGTGCGCTTTTTGTTTTTACGGGGTGAAAACTACCCCTTATTGAAGAAACTGGGAAAAACACGGATTTAATTATTTTATTCTCTTAAATCTTGTTTGTTCGCATAAGGTAAATATTGTAACGTGTTCTCTAATATGAAAATAATTATTCACAATTTTCAACCCTTAAAACCCTTTAAAAACCCTTAAAAGCTAATACTTTTTATAAAAATAATAAGAAAAAAAGTCGTAGCAGCTTGAGACATTTCAATTATGTATTTAAATACAAATAAAAAATAATACCCTAGCTATACAATATTAGTTTATATATTGGAAATTTTCAACCTTTGCACTACCTTTTGCAACCCTTATAACAAAAATGAATTAAAAATGAATTAAAACATATTTTTATCGGTTTGAAACATTTCTTGAGTGCATTTTATTTAACGAAAATAATTTTTCGCATATAAAATAACTTTTTATTATAATTTCAACATTTCAACCCTCACAACTTAACCCCTTTTTCAAAAAAATTTATTTAATATATTTTTATTGGTCTGAAACATTTCTTGAGTGCATTTTATTAAACAAAAATTAATTTCTTGCTTATAATATAACATTTTATTATAATTTCAACATTTCAACCCTCACAACCACCCCCTTTGTTAAAAATGAATTAAAAAATATTTTTAACGATTTGAAACATTTTTAGAGTGCATTGTTTGTAGACAAAAATTAATTTTTTACTTATAAAATGAGCCTACTTTTTTCAACCCTTACAAGCACCCCTTTTGATGAAAATAAAATCCTTAAATCCTTAACTTAGACATGGACATAAATAGAAAAAAATTAGTTTATAATATATTACAATTTTTTTATTTTCCAAAAAACTAAAAATAAATAATATTTATATAAAATGAGGTATAAAATAAATGAATAATATCTATTCATCAGATACATACATGCATATGTATATATTAAATGTCTATTAGTTCCATCGAAATGCTCCAATGCTCCAAATTATAAAATTTTTCCATGCTCCAAAATTTATTCTAAAAAGTACTATTGGTTTTTTTTACAATAACTCGGTTAATTTTGATGCTACAACATGCATAAAAAAACGATTTTACAGGTAATTTAACGGGCTATAAGTATAGGAATGTTAAAACATTCTAAAGTCCTTCATGTTTAAAGGGTGAAGGGTCAAAGGGTCGGAGACCAGTGGTTCATGCGCTATAAAGCAAACTTCAACCAACTATATCTCCGTTATTTTTTAAGCTACAAAAAAAATTAAAAAATGAAAATTCTTGTTGAAAAAAAAAACCTATTTTTTTGTATTGTGTCATCTTTTACGTATCTTTTATAGTTTTGAAGTTATTATAAATTTTTTTTTAATATTTACAAAAAAAATGTAATCATACTTTTTTCAAAAACTGGGTATTCTAAAGTGGCTAAACTTTTGGATCATACAAAAAACACTACAATAAAGTGAATTCTATAAGGAAAACAATTTATTTCTATCCTAGTGAACATGACGTTAGTTTTATTGCGTTTTTTTTACAAAAATTTGAGAAACCCATCGTTTTTTTGATCGGATCTCACGTACAGTTAGTGCAAAGGACTTTTACCACCACTCATTTTAAAGGTCTTTTCAAGCTATTTTAAAAATATTATATGAGTTTTTGTCGAAAAATGTACCCGGTTTCCGTTATTTAACGATAAATACTCGCATTGAAAGACAAAAACAAAAAGGCAGCCATAACTCAGTTAATATTGAACTGAAAATATTCATTAAAAAGCCAATCTTTTTGTTTTTTTTATGAGAGTTTAATTTTAGTCGTTAAACTTTTTTTGATAAAACTCTTAGTTTCAGAGCTATTCTTAAAAAACCTTTAAAAAACATGTTTTTTTTTAACGAAAAATGACACTTTTCAACAGCGAATAACTCAAAAAGTATTGATCTAGCGAAAAAAATGTTTACTACATTTTTTGTTTTAAATTTGTCCTTCTATCGAATAGCGTGGTTATTTTGAGTGAAAAAATTTCCTCACTCTCGAAAAGGGGTGGCAAACACCCCTAGGGTGGAAGTGCACATCGGCACTATATAACTTTTGTTCCTTGAGTAATTATTTACCAACACACTCAATTTCAAATGAATCAATTCAGTTATAAAGAATTCGGAGTTAAAAACCCTCAGTAACTGGACTATTAGTTATATATAACGGTTGCCGGACCAATAGTTACTCATGGTATGCTGGTTTGGTAGAACAAAACAACACTTGTATATGAATCTTTGTGATTTTGCTCAATGGCATCCTTAGAGGTAAAGTACTCTAAATACATCATCATCAAGTCTTCTGCGTCCAAAATTGAACATAGGTCTCCCCTAATTTCTATAATCTGCTTATGCTCTATCTTAATACTGCTTTGTCCACATTATCACAGTTTTGATTTACCCCTACTTCCCTTTCCTACTGGTAGCGCTAATAGGATTTGTCTGGTTGGGCAGTTTTCATTTGCTCTTGACACATTTCCAGCCTTTCTAAGGGTGCGTTCATAACGAGGCGCCGACCCTCGATTGGACCATAAGATGGTATCATATTATCGTCGCCACGTAAAATAAATGCATTATTTTAAATGCGAGCGTTCACTGTCAGTGCTATGCTCTAGCTGAGGATACGATGCTATTGTCTCCGTAATGAACGCAGCCTAAGGCAACCTATTTTTATACCAGATATTATATACCTACCATTTATTATTGCTTTCTTTTCTCTTCATCCCTAACCGTTACCAGTTGGTTGCGCCGAGCTTGCTCGACTATGTTCACACCATTCCTCCATCCTACTCCTATTTCCTACTGGTAGTGCTAATAGGGTTTGTCTGGGTGGGTAGTTTTCAATTGCTCTTGACACATGTCTAGCCTATCTAAGGCAACGTATTTTTATACAAGATATTATATCCCTATCATTTGATATTGCTGTCTTTTGTCTTCATCGCTAACCGTTGCCAGTTTACTGCGCCGAATTTCCTCACGTCTCTGTCCACACCATTCCTTCATTACAGTTTTGGTATACCCCTACTCCTATTTCCTACTGATAGCGCTAAAAGGGTTCGTCTGGGTGGGTAGTTTTCATTTGTTCTTGACACATGTCCAGCGTATCTAAGCCTACCTATTTTTATAAAACATATTATATCCCTACCATTTACTCTTTCCTTACTTTTGGTACAGCAAGAAATTTTTCTTCTTAGTGTTTTTTTTGGAGATTTGTGGACATTTTTTTGACCCATACGTTAGAACTTATATGAAGTTCCTCAGTTCCTCCTTAGCTTCTTCGATTTTATTTCTTATGAAGTTGTGTTCGTTTTTTTTTATTTACATTTTCGCTTTTAGTTTATTATTATCTAATGTCTCTTCTGTTCATTCACGGTTGATTTTTTCGTACCTTGTGTTGTTTGTTGTATTGTTTCGTTACTTGATGTTTTTCCGTTTTTCGTCTGGGGATTCTGCAGTGTTTGCTAGTGTTAAGATTACGCTATATTTTTTCCCGGATTTGAGATTTAATATGTTAATTGATTAATAATTGATTTAATATGTTAATTGGTTAATTGGTGTCGATTACCATGCCGATGATACAACTTACCAACGATTTCTTGAGGCCAACAGCGACTCTGTGCGGGTGCAAAAGGAAGACAACAGTCAGAGAACATTGCTGCATTGCTTGACTGGACGCATATTGCTAGAATGCTCCAAAGCCATCGTCAGCAAGCTCAAGCACTATCAATCAGCGTTTCTACTGTGCGACGAAGGTTAAGAGAATAGAGTTTGACAGTTTGTGCAGTCCAGCAACGCGGCAATTATTTACTGCTGCCTACAAAAGACAAAGACTTGCATTTGCCCGTAAGCAAGTCAATCGGACAATAGACAATTGCAAAAAGTGTTTTTTATGGTGAAGTGTAGAATATCTAGGAAAAGATGAATAAGGTCTATAGAAGAGCTGGAAACCGTTATGCTGTCTGCACTCGGTCACACCGACTGGCTTTTGGTGGTGATTTTTTCGCATAACTGCTTCAAAAATATGTTAAGAGCTTTGAAAGGTTCTCATTGAGGAATGGATCACTTTTCACCAAAACATGATCAGTTCTATGCCAAATCGAATGAGGGGTGTCATCCAGAACCTTGGTGGCAACACATGTTTGAAACATTCTAAATATTTGGCATTCCTCTCCTCAGGTACTTCTAGCTTCCTCCGTGGATGTGTTAGTTGTTGCTCTGGAATCCTCAGAGTCTTCTAACATTATTGTCACAAATTGGTCGGTTTGCTCCCGTAGTGATCCTTTTTCAAAGTGAACAGTCTTCTATTCCAGAATACACATATATATATATATATATATATATATATATATATATATATATATATATTATATATATATATAAATTCCTGGGTTTGTCTGTGTGTTATAAATAAAAACTCTTAATTATTGCTTAAACGTTTCGGCTATTTGCCATTTTCAATAAGCACTTTATTTTATAAACATTACATTACACAATTATATTTTGTTTGCACTCTTTAAATGTTTAGGATGTAATGAAAATGTGGTATCTGACCCTAAATACATTGGCAAGTTTTAAAATACGAGTCTTTCAGGGTCGTATTTTAAACATCTGCTAAGGTGCATTTAAAAAACAACTCAATTTATTATATTGCGATACATATTGGAAAGATCTATGATGTCAGTCTTATTATTGATAGAATTTTGATCTCTTTTTATATTAATCATCTCCAATATGCATCTTTTGTTGTAGTTTTGTTCTTTCTTTTTTCAAAATCTGTACATTTTCAAAATAAAAAAATGGCTAGTTTCCAGAGAATGCTGGGCTAAGGCTGTTGGGTTTAAGTTTAATAGTTTTTATATATATATATATATATATATATATATATATATATATATATTTAATAATTTTTGATAACCATTTTTATAAGTTTATTAGTTTACAACAGCATGACTTTTTTACTGGTAGGTAAAACTCACAAATCGCACTGTCATGAATATATTTAAAATATAATAAATGGTTAATTGTTCATCTATCAATATACTTTTTATTTAGTCAGTGGCTAAGGTATTAGTGGGTCTTTGTTGCAATTGTTAAGTTTGTGTTTAGTAATAGAAAATTTATGGTTAAAATTAGAAAATTCGAATCAGTTTGACATTTTGTCAGGTGTTTGTCAAAGGACCTCTATATTATTTTTAATATTCATTAATGTTTTATTCATCCATAACATTTAATTTAACTTTATTCATTAATGACCATTTAATCTCTGCTAATGCTGCGAAATTTTTTAGAACTATTGAATCGCTAGCTCAGTTTTTTGGAAGGATTTAAATTATGTTAATGAATGATGTGTTTTGAACGAATTCGCATTAAATCCTTGGCAAGTCCTGGAATGTTTTTCTTCGTTATCCACCAGAATGGAGTATCCGTTTTGTGTCTTTGGATTCTGCCGAGTGCTTCATAAGCTGCTTCATTGATTTTATTTATTATCTCATGGTAGGTATTCTGAGCTGAGGAGTAGATCAGGTTTCTTAATTTTTGGCTTAAGCCGTGACTTATATAAAAATGATGCTGAGTCGTTTGCAGTGCATCAATATTGTATTTGGATGGATTCGTTTCCAGTGGTTTTGATTGTGCTGGTTGGTTGCCATTTAGGTGTAGTGATCGCGGTCAATACTGTGGGTAACATTTCCTCTTGGGTACTCTTAGCACTCTTACGTCATCTACTAGGAGATGCTGGTTAATTGGTTGATGGTTGATTCCCTCTCCTGTTGCCGACCAGAATGTAGCTTCTCATATTTTTTAAATAATTTTAAACTGTTCCTTGTCCTTGTTTAGTGTTGTGTTATGTACAATTTTATGTTTATGTCATTCTGCGATTGTTGGATAGCCCAAAATTGACGAAATGCCCCTGAATTTGCTCTAGGAAGCGAAAGTACTTGGGCAAGATTTAATTAATAAAACTACTTTATATCTGCCTTCAGTACGAGATAAGTTGTTTCCTTTCGATGTCAGTAACGATTGTGTCCTGAAATCCCATTCGTTCTTTAATATTTTCATATCTCCGTTCTTGATATTCAAACTGACCTTCTAAATCGCATCCAGTATCAATTTCGGTCGCTTGTAATATTCTTTTAATATAGCTATATGATATGGAAATAAAATAATGTTTATGAATATTAAATGAATAGACATGCTAAACGCAAAAAATATTAAGTACAATAAATTCAGTACTGTGGCACCTGCATTTAAACCACTACACTTGTGTTCGTAATTGTGAAACAATTCGTATGGTATTGTAAGACCGAAGCTTGAATTGACCCTTGCCTGTTGGGTCACTTAAATAATTTTCAATATTAAATAATTTTATGCTAAGTTAGTATCAACAGTTGATTAAAAAGTTAACTCGATATTGACAGTTAACAACTGCCTCTGTTCCATATCTATTTCTTCAAGTTATCTTTTATTTTTTACAGAACGCTTACAAGAATAGCCTCATCAAATTTAAGGCAAAACGTTTCGTTTGAAAATATATTGCAAGATTTCATAGTCAATTTGGGTGTGGGTGTAAACTTCGGCACTGCGGCCAATATGCAGCTGTTTTTGGGAAATCCTGGAGACTACGCCTGGGGACGTGAAGGACTGGATGCCATCGTTACTCAGCTTTTGAATCAAATGGATACAACAGGTAAGACATGGTTTGAATATTAATAAAGTGCGTGTTAAAAAACACACACATGTTTCCACACTTAGTATATCTATCAATGGGAAATGTTTGAAAGTGGAAAAAGAAACTTAAAATAACCTACTGGGAAACTTCTTCTTAGAGTGCCGTCTCCCTACGGAGGTTGGCAGTCATAATGGCTACTTTTATTTTAGAACTTGCTGCTCTAAACAAATCAATAGATCTGCATTGATACCAATCACGTAGATTCTTTAACCATGAGTTCTGCTTTCGGCCAACAGATCTTCTTCCTTGAATCGTTCCCTGTATTATGAGTCTCAAAATTTCATATTTTGGTCCCCTCATCACGTGGCCTAGGTATTCCAGTTTTCTAGTTTGTATAGTGGTGATTAGTTCTGTTTCTTTACCAACCCTCTCCAGTAGAGGTGTGCTTATTAGTTCTTTTAGACGAACTAGTTCAACAGAACTATTTCACAAAAATGAACTAGTTCAGTGAACTAGTTCGCGAAAGAACTATTTGTAGGACCGACATCGAAATCCAACTCTAACAGAACTGGTTGCCAGATGTCTCGTCTCAATCATCACACAAGCTCGGCGCTGGCCGCCCGTTTACTTCTATTTTCAGTCAGTCTTTCACTAGTTTACTACCGTACAAGTAGTTCGGAACTATTTCTTTCGATCGTATGTTTAGGTTTAAATGGTTTAAATTATTATATGATTAGTTAGTTTTTATTTGCAAAAAAATATTAAGATTTGTTTTTTATTAACCGTTTTATATATAAATATGGTTCAAGTATGATTTATTTTTATATTTGCGTATATTTAAACTCATAAGTATTTATAATTAGGATATTTCTAAAAGAAACTTAACAAAAAAAATCAGTGAATTTTCTAGGAACATTAAATAACACATTTTCATTTTCACTTTTACATAAAATTATATTTTATGTAAATGCCTCAATCATTTTAACCACAACTAAAATTTTTATTTCAAAATTACAATATAAGAAACAACACAGCATGGCAACATCCAAGCCAATACATGGGCATAAGATCCAAACCATTATGACATTAAGATAAGACCTTATGGTATTGTCACATTCATAAGAATCATGAATCTGTTATCTGAGGCTAATCGGCATTTTTTTTAAACTAGTTAGTCCATCCATTCACAAAATAATAAATATATGTTCTAATTCATTCATTATTTTCTTCTTTAGAAGTCGAGACATAATTTATAATGCAAATCGTTCGCAGTGAACTAGTTCTATGAAAATTAATGAACTAGTTCAATTAGTTCAGTTGAAAGAATCGTTCATTAGAACTATTTCGATGGTGAACTACACATCCCTACTCTCCAGTACTTCTTTATTTTTGTAAGTCTATCAGTCCATGATAAACTAGGGAAACTGGGAAACTATCGTAGGCCAAAAGCAGATGAAAATGTTATTACAACGTTCTGTTTACTATGCGAAAAACTCTTAGAACTTTAGAAGACTGCTCTTGCCAGTAATCACAGATCTTCTTACAAAGTGGACAAAGTGGAAAGTGTACTATGCAGATTCTACGAAAATGCAGAGGAAACATATTAACTGCAGACTTACTGCACAAAATAGGTTTTCTTAGAATCAAGTGTAGTGTAAATATCATGGACGTATAATATACGTCCATGGTAAATATAAATAATATTTATGGTAAATTCTCTGACGTAAATTCTTCATAGAATGTTACTTTTTATTATTTACGTAGGCCAACGCTGGAAACTTTTTTTAGTAAAAATATCTTATTCGGAAGTCTTTGCAGCGCAGAATCCAAATATGATACTTATATCACCTAACATTTTGTTCTTTTTGTTCTTAACATTTCATAGTTAAATTTATTTAAACGATACTTTCGTAAATATCTGAAGAGCATTTATATAGTTAAAACATAATTATATTTAATTGATGTAGAATGACGTTGGTAGTCCATTTCTGTCATAGCTGATCTTTTATTTACTGTCAACTGAACTTATATTTGTAGTGAGTTTATGATTAAAAAACAACATTACGGACTTTGTCAAAAATATTTATCTATCATACATTGAAACTAAACTTGATTATATATTACTGATCATAACTTAAAATAAGGTAATAAGCTACTCTACTGTTATGACCGCCGTCCTGCCAGTAAGTCACGGTGTAAATTTGCTGGTCCCCTAACCTCAGATAATTTAAATTCTATTCAAATTAAACTATTTTCTGATGCATAAATGCAGTTAGATAAACAAGATATTGAAGATTTTTAATGCATTGCAGAAAATGTTTAACCTAAATTGTTGAATCGAATCGAACCTATCGACTTGGTTAGGGATCTTGGCTTAAAGTAAGAAAAAGCAAAATTACTTGTCTCTAGACTGAAAGAAGAGCAATTGGTGGCAGTTGGAACCAGTATTTATGTGTATAGAAACAGATATTAGCAATTTTCTAAGATTTTTGAACAAGAGGGTGATTTGGTGTGCTGGTCAGACATTTACGCTCTGATGAATGAGTTTGGCATTGAATACAAAAATGGAGACGTAAGACCGTTCATTTATTCGTCCAAAACTAGTTTGAACGCCGTTTAATTACACAATGGTAACATGTACGCATCTATAGGTTTGGTTTTAAGTACATATAAAAAAGTTAGGAAGACCTAGAAATAGTGTTAAATATAATAGGCTATTATGCTCATGCATGTGCATGCTCATGAGTTATTAGTCAGTAGTCTCTTGTTTCTTGTGAAAATGGAAAAGTAGGGCTAGGGATTAAAATTGTGCAGAAAGAACTGGTCTGCGAGGTAGTTTTTAAAACCTGGCCAATAAAGTCAAGCCTACTAAAACAGTTTATAAAGGCTTTGCTCAAAGATGGTGATGGAAGTGATGGTGATCTGCTGATATTTTCCACTCCTTTCAGAAGCTTATCTAAAAGAAATTTGTTGAACCTGACTTGAAAAAATGATGTTTGATGTTAACTGTTAATTTACAATAACCTCAAATGAGAAAGAACCTTGGGTGTCATTCAAGGACATTGTTACAGCTATTGTAGCTAACAAAGTTTCGAAAATTAGAATTAGGGTATTGATTATGCCAAAAAAAGGACTAAAAGGAACTTCAACGTTAAAGGGATTTTATTATTTTAATGGTTAATGGACCACCAAATAAACTAAAAATCGAGGAGTGGTACCATTTAAAGGGGTGCGTTTTTGTGCTCATATATTAGGGTGCATTTGGGCGAATTTTATGCACTTTTCGTACATATACAACTACAGAAAAGTTGTTTAAAAAATTTCCTACCAAAATGTCATCTGTTAGTTTTTTTTTCCAAAAATATATTCAAAAAAAACGAAGCACAAACACGAAAAAACACGATTTTTTTTTGCCCAATAACTTTTGCCAGAGGGTTACAAGTATGGCCGTTGCTGCACAGAAACTTCTATCCCTCCTCTTCAAAATAACGCTTGGTAGAAGTCTTATAGTACGATTTTTAAGTTTGCCACTCACACCATTTTTTGGCCATTTTTCCTATATTTTCGAAAACATTTTTCTATAACGTTTTGCTACGCAGTTTTAAGTATATGTTGTAACAATTTTTATCTGCCTACCACGTTGGGTGCCAAGTGTAACAATATATGATTGCTTATAGGTGTTTGAAAGGGGGTCTGCACAATTACTGCGCTGGAGATAGGGTAAGCAAATAAATTGAAACGTTTGCGAAGGGCTACTCGTATTTTGGTTGGAGACCTAGGCCGTGGATAAAGGTTTCTTTATTTCAGGGACTGGACAAACTAACTACAAAAAATACTTACAGAGATGTCCTGGATAACAAAACACAAGATTCCTAAACTATTTAAAATGGACGCCGTTTAGAAAAATCCCCTTGCTGGTTAGAAAGAAAGATTTCTCTTTCCTAAAAAATTTTAAGGGTGAAATTCTTTTAAAAGAAATAATTTTCTTCATGGCTTTTCTGACTGTCAGATGTCGAAATGAAATATCAAACTTTTCTGAATTATTTATTAATTATCAGGGTTAACTTTATTTAAAAGAAAACTAAAATATGAGAATTAACTGGTCCATAAAACTTATATTTAATTATAACCTTTTAATTTGTTATAAAATCAAATCTAAGTATATTAACGAAGAACTTTTATTTTATTTGGAAAAATTTAACAAAAGTACTTGTCTTCATGGCTGAATATTTCTTTTTAAATTATTAAGAAAGGTTTGTTACCTTGGAATTGGATACAAAAAACACAGTCCCACACAAACTTCAAAGATCTGGATTCGACCCATGGAGACACAAAATGGACAAATCTTGGGGAGGTCAAACATCGAATTGGACTTCAGGTTATCCTAATGATAACAATATGTATTCTTCAAAACGCGGCTGCTTAATTCTCACTTAAAACCGCGTGGGCCTCTTAGCCCTCAGAAACGCTATTTTCAAATCCCGTCACATGGAATACAGCATCCAACAAACCGGTGATTAACTAACTCACTAAACAAAGACTGCCAAATAGCATTTTAAGATTAAATTCAACTCCTTGTAACTCATGGAATTAAACGAAAATTTTGCCGGCTTTTCAGAATTATCACCGAAAAAGAACCTTTCCCGTTCCGAACGCAATCTGCTCTCCGACTACTACACTTTACACTATTTAATTCCCGATGTTATAAAATTCTTCATGACAACAATGAAACCAACTGCATCGCCGCTAGTTCATCGACGAGTGATCTCATTACCCAAAATCATTCTCTTGTCAGCATACACTTTCCCACCAACCTAAGCGGAAAGATTCATATTTATGAGACGAGCAAATAACTAGGCGGAATCGGGATCAAACGACAAAGCAACCTGTATTATTATAAACAGACTAAAAATGTTTATATTATCAATCTCAGAGACGCAAAAAGATTAAAAAAAATTTTTTCGGTGTTTTTTATTATACAGAGTGCGGCAAAAGTCAGTTCCCCGATTTGCACAATC